GAGCAAGAGTGTGGGGTGCTCCAGCTGGTGGGAATGTAGCAAGTAGCCCCAGATGTTCCTGACCACCTCTCAGAGTCCTGAGAGCTCAGCTGTCTAGCAGAGAACCTCTGCTCATTTTGTAGTTAGAGGAAACGGAGACCCTAGGAGGAAATGAGTGCCTTGCTCCAGGTCACAAAGCAGGTGATTAACAGAGCCAAGACTGGAACCCAGATCGGGGTCTCCTCCTCCATACCCCAGCACCAGGCACGTCCCAGAGTCCCACCCTCCATGAACATGTGGTGTCAACGTGCCCATCACCAGCTGGAGGGACTTTTAGAGATGACCTGGTCCCGCACCGCCAAATGTGCGGTTGCTCCACTCTCCCCTCCTGAGCTTGTGGCAGACATTACTGATCAATGATGCCCTCTCAGCCCAGGAGCTGCCTAGGAAGGCTTCTCAGCAGAATGCTCCATCCAGACCCTACAATCAATCAGACTTGTAATTGAGGACATAGTTCTTAGAGTTCCCTTACTTGGCCCCGGAAGGGAAACTGAGGCTCAGTGAGGCATGACACCTGCCAAGGGCTATACACCAGCACCTAAGGGAGTCAGAATTTCCAGACACTGGTATACTGGAGGCCTGAGACCATTTTAGCTCATCTGGTCTTTACTGCACACAAAAAGAAGAAATGCTGTTGCCGTTGATTAAGCATTAGGCACACTGGTTTCTTAATCTTCTCATTTAAATCTTCTTCATAACCCTGTGGGGCGGGGCCACATACAGATGGGAGACCTGAGTTGGAGGGGAGTGAAGTGACCAGAAACCAGCAATAATTATAATCATCATCATCACTGTTGTCACCGTGTATCGGGGGCCTACCACACATTATCCCACCGCATCCTCACAATATGCCTGGGAGGAAATTCCCATCATTAGTCCCATTTCACAGGTAGGGGAACCTGAGGCTCAGGGTGATGAAGCCACTTGCCCAGGCAGCACAGCCAGCAACAGGCAACGAGAGAGGATTCGATCCCAGCCTGCCCAACTCCAGAGCCGGGGTCTGACTACCGCCCCCTCGGTACCCTTTTAATTTCCATTTTGCAGCCTGGATCCATTTTACGATGAGACAGCTACGGCCCGGGGTGAACACCGGGTCTGAGGTCACTACATCACACTTGGTCCCCTGGGTTGCGTTCCTGAGGCGGGAAAAACTCTTCACAAGATTTCAGCACAGCTCTCAGCTCTGTGCCCACAACCAGGGCAAGAGGAACCTCATGTGTTTGCAGAACTGGGCACAGACAGCCAGGGAAGGGCATCTGCTGATCGGCCCAAGGCTCTGCTGGACGGCATCTTCCACGTCCCAGGCCCAGGCTTGGGCACCTGGGCTGCCACCTTCTCCCTGCTCTGTGCTCTGATGGTGGGACCACAGTCAGCGTAAGGAAAACTAGCTCCCGAAGCCTCCAGCCCTACACCTACATTGCTCTGGATGCGTTCATGTGGAGGACAGGCTTACAGGTCTCTACTGAGCTAAAGGTGGGCGACTGAAGGGGATGGACACTGGGTGACCTGGAGCTATCTGCTGGCGCTCCCAGCCTGATGTCAAGTGGGCACTCATCTCTGCTTCCTGGACGGTATTCCAGGTTGACACAGGCCCAATGCACCAGGCGTTACTAGCCTTGGATGAGTCCTTCTGCTCTGGGGCACAGCCTCCACAGACTTCCCAGAAAGGAGGTTAAATTGATGAACTCTAAGCTCTCCTGTGGCTTTGATGTCTGTTATGTTTCCAATGTGGTCATGTGACCCTTGAGTAGTCATCAGAAGGGAGGAAGCAGATGTGTATCTACAAATGTGTTAAGTCAGGATTTACTGTGGGTTTGAATGGCATGATCCAACTCACACTGGCTTCAACAAATATAAAAGAGGAAGGGAGAAATGTGTTTGAACTGGAAAGTCCCGGGCATAGACTTCAGGCACAGCTGAATCCAGGCACTAAAAGGATACATTTTCTCATTCCCTTAATATGGCTTCATTCTCTAGTGAGACTTGTCAGATAATTGTATCTAAATTTTTTAAGGACAAAAACAGACCCAGGCAATCTGTGCAGACCCAAAGCCCCCTTTGCTGGTAGTGAGCTCTTTTATCCAGAACAGTAGTTATATGGTCTCCATGATACTGTAAATGTACCCCTTGTGTAGGGACGGAAATGTATGTGTTTTCTTCATATGAGTCTAGCTTATGCTGTCTTGTTCTTGCATGTGTGCGTACATGCATGTGTGAATGTGCACATGTTCACATGTGTAAGTATGTTTGTGCTTGTTCAAGAGTCACACACACACTGTTGGGATTAGGATCCAGAGGGGGGGCATGGTTTCTCTCCACTTTGGTAGATTTAGTCTAGTGTACATCAGACTTGGTATACACTAAGCCTTTAGCAGAAGGGGGCCCTTGAGGATGTGGTAAAGTCCTATCCTCATGTGGGTTGGAGCCAGTGAACTGAGAATATGGCTCTTAGAAAGCAGGACTTTGAGGTGCGTGTGTGCCCACCTCCAGGCCCACCCCCAGGGGACAAGAGTGTCTAGTTAATTTCACCTTAAAGCTCAGCCATGAGAGGCGGCCGACATCAGTGGGAGAAGCTGGCTTTGCCCTGGGTGTGGTCCATGGTGAGAAACAGCACCCACACCAGCCACTGTGACCCCAGGATGCCACGGCCAGGTGGAGGTGGGGTCTTGGGAGGAGGGAGGGTGAGAAAAGGAAAGAGGCAGGAAGCCTGAGGGAACCATATCTCCATGAGGCAGCCAGACTCAGGTAGAAAGAAAATCTCGGGGGAAGAATCATACAAATGTGCAACAATGGTCTTTGAACGATAGACTGAGGAAATTTAGAATGATGCACGCTCACAGTCACATGAAGTCACACAGGACCTTAGCAGTCATCTGATCAAATTATTGAGCATCTCTGGTGATGGGGCCTTCGCCACCTTCCCAGGTAGTAGATGGCCTTATAGGATGTCCCAGAGAGAGGCTTGGAGCATTCTACAGACAGGTCAGGGTCTAGGGGACCCGTGTGAGAGGAAAGCCCCAGAGTGAGTGTGGTAACAACTGGCTGAGGGCAGAGAACAAAGGAAAACAGTCAAATTATGATGATTTGCCATAAAAGAAGCCAGCAAGGAGCTGAGATCGGGGAAGGAAGGGAGGGACCACCTCAGACAGGCAGTCACGGAAGTTCTGAGGTGATGTCGAGAGCCAGAGACAGCTGGGGAGGAAAGTTCTGGGAAGAGGGAATGGTCTGTGCAAAGGCCCAAGGCAGCAAAGAGGCTGTCATCTTTCTGGAACAGAATGAAGACAGTAGGGGTCAGGGAGGGAGGGGTAGGTGAGTTTGGAGAAGCAGTGAGCAGATGACACAGGCTCTTGTGGGCCATGGTGAGCACTTTGGGTTTAAGCTGAGAGACCCCTCTGGCTGCTGCATTGAAGGTAGAGGGGTTGGGGGCAAGTGTGCAGAGGGAGACCAAATATTGGGGGTTAATATGGAGGCAGATCTTGTTCACTTCCAGGAGGAACGCTACTGAATAAATGGAGTAGGCAGGCTTGGGAGGATTGTAGTGAGCAACCCGTCATTGCAAACGCTGGCCCGGAAGCTGTCTCCACCGTGAGAGATGTTGTGGAGAGCACTCAGACACCAGAGGAAGGTTGGGAAGAATGACCCCACTGGTCTCTGACCCTGACTCTATGGGTCACAATTCTAGTCCCATCTCTGTCCCTATCTTACTGGGTGACCTCAAGCTGGTTGCTTTCCCTCTCTGAGCCTGAGTTTCCAAATGAAGACAGAATTAGGCTGGATGATCCCTGTGGGTCCTCCTGCCAGAACATTCTCCAACTCATCAATTCTATCTATTCTCAGTCTTTACCCCAGCCCCCACCCACAATGGCAACCGTCTTGGCAGCTGGAGGCTCTATGAGAACCTGATCTTAGTCTTGGCACAAAGTCCTCTCCATATCCATCCATTCCAGTTCAAGCATCCTCAGTGACCTTTGGGTTGGAAGTCTCTGTGTTCACTCTGGACAGGGGTTATTTTCTTTGGAGTCTCCTTGGATGGCTCTGAAACCAGGGCTTGCTTCCATGGGCAGCCTCCCATCCCATCACCACCATATAAGGGCCATCACCTCCCAGCACAGTTCCAGGAGACTGTGCAGGGGAGCGAGGATTTGGTATTTTCCTCCAAACCTGTGAATGGTGGACTTCCCCATTAATGTCTCCCCACATGGAGGCCTTCAGAAGGTGTTGGGGGCAAGAGGCAAAGGGAAGGGCCACTTGAATTAGCTACTATTTTGAAAATAGGAAATTAAGAAATAGATAGATTATATTAGAAGTGTCAAACTGACGTGCAATGCAGTGTCATGATGTGGCACCCTTTTATTTGTTCATACTTTTATTTGGCAAACCTTTATTTTGTTGTACTGTACTAGGTGCAGGCTTTTTACTATGGGTTGGGAATTCAACAGTGAAATAAGTCACAATCCCTCCTCTAAGGAGTTCACAGCGTGGTGGGAAAGACAGACAAGTCATCACTAATTGGTACCCAGGACTCCAATCAGAGAATGAAGGCAGCAAAATGGTGGAGTGGGGCCCCCTAAACCTAGACTCTGGGGAGGGGCCTAGATTGGGTTTCATAGAGGACATGATGTCTTACTGAAGCTAGAGAGTCAGTAGAAAGTGACTTAGGTAAAAAGGCAAAGAAGAGGGAAATGTTCCAGGCAGAGAAGACAGCATGTGCAAAGGACCTCTGTGTAAAGAGCATTGACTTGGAGTCAAGTGTGACTTGTCATATAGCAGCTCCTCCACTCACTGGTTGTGTATGTCTGGGCAAGTTGCTCTAGCTTTCTGACCTGTGCTGCCCATCTGTAAGAGAGGAGATAACCACATCAATCTTAAAGGACTGTTGAGTGTAAGAGTGAAAGGTGCTCATCAAAGATCCCTTTTCTCTACGGGTAATTCTCACTCCTGTTCCTCCCATGACTGTCCAGGTGTCAGGACAAGATATTTCAGCTTTGGAAACTTATTCTCTTGTGCGGCCTGCTCACTGGGACCTCAGCATCTCTTCTTGAGGATCTCGGCAATGATGTTGTGAGGAAGCTGAAACCTGTTCTCGATAAAGGACTTGAGACCGTTGACAGTACACTTGGACGTGAGTCAGCAAGGGGGATGATCAGTGGCAACTAGGAGCTTGCCTCCTAATCACTATGCCTGTATTACCAAAGGCTGCCACCAGGGGCTGCTTTTTTTTTTAAGTTTACAATCTATTCATTTAAAAGAAGTCATTATTATTATTATTACTTTTTGCTGGGTCAAAGTGTATGAACACTTTAATGACTCTCAATACATGCTCCTGCTTTGTATCCACTGTCAAAGGTATTCATCAATTTCACTTTAAACAATGGTACTAATATTATTACATCTTCTATGCCAAGTTAATTGATATAAAAACATACTTTGTTGTTCAATTTGAAGTTTGCTGTAGACTGAACATTTTCCCCTCTTTGCTTACTATCTACATTTTGTTGTTTATTTCATTTGCCATAAAGGGGGCATTTATAATATTTTTATACATTAGGATAAACTTTTTATATGTTATACATAATAATCCATTGCTCTAACATTTGAGACAAATACTTTTCCTGCTGTTTTCATTTCCACTGTGATTTGTTGGTTCTTTTTTCTTTTTTTTTTTTTTAACATCTCCATTGGAGCACAATTGCCCCACAACGGCATGCCAGCCTCTGCTCCACAACAAAGTGAATCAGCCACACATATACACATGTCCCCACATCTCCTCCCTCCCGCATCTCCCCACTCCCACCCTCCCATCCCACCCCTATAGGTGGCCACAAAGCAAGGAGCCCATCCCCCTGAGCCATGCGGCTGCCCCCCACCAGCCATCCACTCCACACCCGGCAGGGCATCTATGTCCACGCCACCGTCCCACCCCATCCCACCCTCCCCCCCCCCCCCCCCTTACAAAATGTTGGCCTGTGATTAGTAATCTTTACACAAATGTCATTCACCACCAATATTTTTCTTCTGTATATAAATGTTTGTTTATTGCAAATTTATTCTTGTGTGTTTGGATATAATTTATTTCTTTTTTTAACACCTTTATTGGAGTATAATTGCTTCACAATGGTGTGTTAATTTCTGCTTTACAACAAAGTGAATCAGCCACACATATACACATGTCCCCACATCTCCTCCCTCCCGCATCTCCCCACTCCCACCCTCCCATCCCACCCCTATAGGTGGCCACAAAGCAAGGAGCCCATCCCCCTGAGCCATGCGGCTGCCCCCCACCAGCCATCCACTCCACACCCGGCAGTGCATCTATGTCCACGCCACTGTCCCACCCCATCCCAGCCTACCCCCCCCACCCCGTATCCCCAAGCCCACCCTCCAGCAGGTCCGCATCCCCACTCCTGTCCTGCCCCCGGGCTCTTCTGATCACTCCTTTTTTTCTTCCTTAGGCGCTGCTCTTTATGGGTGGTTTCCTGAGAGAGGTGGTGATTTGGTTCCTGGTTCATTCATTTTTAATTTTTCTAGAAACAAGCAATGCTTAAATAAATAAAACTTTACATATTATATCACGGTAAATTTTCTAATGTATGCATAGGATAAATTCCTAAAAGTGACATTTCAAAAGTTCAAAAGGTATGCACATTTTGAATTATACTGGATATTGACAAATAATTCCCTATGTTAACATTTTCTCCAATAGTCTTTTTTTCTACTCCCTTGACAGCACTGGCATGGAAAACTTAAATACTTTTGCCAGTCTCACAGTTGAAAGGTTATAATTCATTTCACTTACCATTTCTCTAATTACGAAAGAATCTACATATTTTAACTCAAATATTTTATTTGTATTTTTAGCATATTCTTCTGTTGGGTCATTCAATTAGCTTAGTAATTTGTATTAACTGATTGGAAATTGAGCCCTACTTAGCTTAGGTAGCTTTAAAACTACCAACCTTTCTACTTAATCATATCTCCTTATAATTATGATTTCTTAAAAGAACTTGGCCTGCTTTTCATTTTCTGGAAACATTAGCAGCCCACTAACAAACATTCTTTATAGGAGAAACTAACTTGTGTACATGACTCTGCCTTTCAAACCTTGCCAGGGCTTAGGCAACTTTCAAAGATACAGAAGGGATCCACTCTCCAATTTCATTGCTGATAAAACTGAGCTCAGAAACAGAAGTGTCTGGATCAAGGTCACCTAGTTAGTTACAGGACCAGATGTAGTTTCCATCTCTGTTTGCGTCATAATAACTAGGTAGATAGATACTGTCCATTGCAGAGCCATGTTGCTGTACTATGATTACATATCTTGTCTTGTAGCCTTTTTTTTTCTCCTTGAACGAGTTGTTGCCTTGTTGTTTCCTATTTGAATTATTTTCTGCACATATATTCTTAATTCTTTTCAAATGTGTTATCCTATTTCTGCCATGCCATTTACTCTGTCAAATCCCTCTTTTCTCAGAAGGTCCCCCTTTAGGACACTCTGTCCTCCTGCTCCTGTATGAATTATTGCTTTCTAGGCCTGCTGCGAAGCTGTCATCCAGGGACTCCTATTTGCCACTTTCATGAGTTGGAGCCATATTTTTTCCTTGATTCTAGATTTTCCATTTCTTAGTTTATTCTAAGTTTATTTTGATTGTGTGAGCATCTCATTAGAGCTTCACTACTAGAAGCTGATGTGCAATCAATATCTATTGCCTGGTCACTGGATCGATTGCTTTGTTGATGAATGATGAGTATATCTTAGTGTGAAGGCAGCATGGAAGGAGCAAAGTCTCCTTAGCTGTGTGACTTTAGGCCCATTTCTTAACCTTTTGATCCTTTATTTCCTCATCTGAAAGTGCAGACAATAATAATATCTACTTTATGGGGTTGTTATAAAGATTAAATGAAATAACATAGGCAAATGGTCTCATTTAGTATCTGGTGCATAGTAGCTGCTTCATAAGTTGTGTATCACACTAAATGGAGATTGTTTCTACAGTTATCCTTCAGAAATTGAAGGCTGACTTGGAGGCGCTCCAGGAATCCACGTCTTGGCAGGAGGCCCAGCAGAAGATCCAGGAAGCTGAGAACTTGTTGGACAAAGTCCTTTCTAAAATTTTGCAAGTAGTGGAAAAGGTTATGGGGTGAGTCACTGCTTCATGGTAGAAATCTTTGTTCCAGGAAAAGAGAATACATATCTTTAAGGGGACGTAAGATTAAGGTCAAAGACAGAAAGGTGAATAAACCTTGTGTGTCCCTGCAGAGCGGAAGTCGTCTGAGGCCAGCTATACCAGAGTTTGGGTAAATTACAGGCAGGGCTGCAGAGCCTATCTGGGCATCTCATGGGTTTGGGCTTTCTCATTCTGTGATTTCAGGGTCAGGATGAAGGTTCTCTTTACCCTTACCTCTACCTGTTTGCTGGTGCCTAAAGCCACTTTTCCAAGGAATAAGACTTGTCTTCTCTGAAAATAGCTGAGTACATATCTCCGTCAGGAGAGAGGAAACCAGAATTCACAATACATAGGTGGCTCTACACATGAAGTTCTGGAGTCCAGCAGCTCTGGATTCAAATTCTGACTGTACATAAAAGAGAATGAAATAATGCCACTTGCAGCAACGTGGATGGACCTAGAGATGAACATACTAAGTGAAGTAAGTCAGAGAAAGGCAAATGTCATATGATATCACTTATATGTGGAATCTAAAATATGACAGAAATGAACTTATTTACAAAAAACAGAAACAGGCTCACCGACCTGGAAAACAAACTTATGGTTACCAAAGGGGAAAACGTTGTGGGGGGATAAATTAGGAGTTTGGGATTAACATATACACACTACTATATACAAAATAGATAACCCACAAGGACCTACTGCATAGCATAGGGAACTATACTCAATATTTTGTAATTACCTATAAGGGGAAAGAATCTGAAATAAAATATATATCTCTGTCTACCTCTATCTATCTCTATCTCTGTATCTGAATCACTTTGCGGTACACCTGAAACTAAGACAACATTGTAAAGCAAATATACTTCAATTAAAAACAAAAAAATTCTGGCTCTGGCACATATTTACCCTTGGAGTCTTGGAGGAAACCACATTTGTCTGAATCTCAGTATGCCACGCCATCCAATGGAGAGATTCAAACCTCTGAACAGGGCTCTCATGAAGACCAAAGCAGGCAAGGTCAGTGAGGCTCATATGCGCATCACGATGCTGGCATAGAGAAGCGCCCAGCAATGGCTGTCATGAGGAGTGACAAGGGTGAACTGTGGTTTTTGCACAGGTTGAAAATCAGTAAAGTCCACATCCTGGATATCAAATTCGAAGTGACTCCTGATGGCAAAGGCGCTAGCCTGAGTATCCCCATCAACACTAACGTCACCCTGACCCTGTGAGTAGGCATTAGAATCTGAGGTTTGGGAGAGGCAGTGCGGCATGGCCGACGGATCTCCGATCTGGAATCAGATACAGAGACAGGAAGATGAGGATGTGTAAAAGAGTCTTTATAAATTAACTGCACTATGATTTCATCATTCGTTACCTATGAGGTCTTGGGATAGTTACTTAACTTCTCTATACCAGTACCAGTACCAATAATAATACTTTTCCCTCATGGTATTGGTGTAATGATTCAATGGATCAATCCATGTAAAATAGTTTTTTTGAAACACCTAACACAGAATTTGTGCTCAATAAATGTTAACTATTATTTTTATTTTAATTATCAGTGCGATACTGTATAGAAATATCACATGAACCAAACCCATGTGGCCAGGTGAATAAACTCCTAATGTAAAAAAGTAGATTCCATAAAGAAAATAGACCATATTGACATTATCCATAGACATCCCATATAAGGTCCACACAGATGGATGAACTCAAGTGGGCAATGTGAATGGACTTCTAGACCTCTGTTCACTGTGAATCTTATTTCCTGCAGGCCTCTGTTGGGTGAGCTTGTCGACCTGGGCCTCAACTTGGACCTCCAGACTAGTGTCAGCATTGAAACTGATGCCAAGACTGGTGTCTCCACAGTGATCGTGGAATAATGCACCAACGACCCAGCCAACATCTCACTCACCTTACAGGACAGGTCAGGCCCACCCATCTCAGCAGAGCAGGGCTCCCAGAGGAGTTGGGACCCCTAATTTCAACCTTATTCCTGTACCTGGGAGGGAGCATTGTATGGTGAAAAGGAGTTCAGACTCTTGTGTCGTTTGTTTTGCCACTAACTTGTGACTTTGTAACCAATTAAGCCTCTCTAAGCTTCAGTTTTCACATCTATAAACTGAGGATAATAATAATACCTAATTCATAGGTACTGTGCTGACCAAATGAGAAAATGCAAGTGTTTAGCATTCAGCCTGGCACATACTAAGCTCTCAGTAATAATAATATCCATGCTGACTTTCTGTCTCTTTATTCTTCCCCTTACTGAGACACAAGTGTTGACCTCTCCAAACATAACTGTGAATTTGCCTATTTCACCTTTCAGCTTTATCCGTTTTTGCTTTATACTTTTTGCTTTATACTGTTGTTAGGTGCATGCACATTTAGCATTGCTATATCTTCTTGAAAAACTGACCCTTTTGTTATTATATAATGTCCCTTAATAATAATAATAATAATAACAATAATAATAAACTGTGTTTACCTTATTGCCTCCAGTTAAGAGGGAGAAAGAGGAGTAAATACCTACCATGGGCTCTAATCTCAGATTTCCCCAAATCATCCTCAACCCACTGGAAAATTCCCAAAATGAGATTTTGAAAACATAATCCTCTCCGTTTAAATCACTGATCTCTGGTAACCCACACAATCTACATCTTAAACTGTGTGCTTGAAAGAGCATGTGTAGCCCAGGTAAGAGGGTGGAGGGAGAAAGGCTGACTCTGGTCATGGCTGAGAGAGGAAAAGTGGTCTGGAACTGAAGGTTGCCTTCAGGGGGAAGGGGGAAGGTTGCCTTTGGCAGGGAAAAAGGCTGAGCAATGAGCAGAAGTCAATCCATCCTACCCCAACAAGGAATCTGATCACAGGTTGCCTAAAGACCCCCCAAAACCAAAGAAAGCCTCCACAGCCTATTATTGCTTGGAAAGACTGAGATGTAAGTCCAAATGCCTGAGCCCTGGTGGATACTGCCTTGCCCATAGTCCCAGGGAATTCATCCTGCCCTCTGGGTCCCAGTGTCCATATCTGTAAAATGGCATTCCACTCCGCTGCTCCAAATTCTCTCAGGGCTTTTCTCTCCACTTTGGGTGGAATCCCAAGCCCTCCTCAGGGCCATCTAGGTACTGCTTGGTCTGGATCCACCCTCATGTCCCTGTGCTCTCCCCTTTGCCCACTCTGCCCTGGACATGCTAGCTTTTGCTCTGTGCCTCAGACAAACTTCCCACCTCAAAACCTGTGCACGGGCTGCTCTGGCTACATAGAACATCTTTTCCCCCAAGCCATCTCAATGTACGTCTCATTCTTCAGGGTCTAAAACAAAGTATCTCCTATTCTCTTTTATAAGAATCTACTCCTGCCCTTCTGAGTTCCTGTCACAAGTTTTCATTATATATTTAATTTTATGTTTACTTCATTTATTCCTTTAGCCAAAAATGTATTACACATCTGCTACGTGCCAGGCAGCCACCATTCTGAGCTCTGGAGAATGTACTGGTGACAGCAGACAAGGAACTTTTCTCATGGAGCTTATTCTCTTGAGGGAAAGGCAGACAGGTGAGCATTCAGTACACTAATAAAGAGCCCACAAGGAAAGTGTCACATTGCAATGATCCCTGGGCAGAGCAGCACACTTAACAGGGTACTATGATACAAAGCCCTCCCTTAGACAAGCAGTCACGGAGGGCTGCTCTGAGGAGGTGACAGTTATGCTGAGAGCAGCAGGTGGGAAGGAGCCAGCCTTCGCCAAACTTGTTTAATATACTATTTAGGTACCAGTTTAGGAGGTGCTTGTGCTTTGCTCATCCCTGTGTCCCCAGTCTCGCTTGGTTTCTGGCACATAGTTGGTGCTCTATAAATATGTGTTGAATGAATGAATGAATGGATAGATGGATAGATGGCTGGGTGGATAGATGAATGGATGGATGGATGAATGGCTAAGGTCTCAGGATTGTGATGAGACTCATGGGGTATTGGGGTGAGCTGCTGGTCAGACATGGGGTTCTAAGTGATGATACCCCTAGATAGAGGCTCAAGTCACCTGACTTCAAGGTGCTCCACCATCTTACACCCTCTTCCCACTTCTCCTGCTTGGCTGCTCTGCCAACTTCACCGAGTTTTATCAGTTTCTTCCCTTTTCCAGCCCCGTTGGACTGGTCAATGAAGCTGTGAACACTGTGGTCAAACTCGTGAGAAAGACAGTGTCCCTTGTGGTGCAGTATGAGGTGAGTCCCCAACTCCTGCGGGCCCAGAGCCAGGCCTGCTGGGGGACAGGTGTGACATTCCCTGGCCTGGCAGCGGGAGGAGGGGAGCAGGGGCCTGACATTAGCTGAAATCACTGGGTCCCACATTTGAACCATTTGCCATACCCATGTACTGCCAGTAGGGCTTCTAGCTAATATTTTCTTTAATCAACACAATTTTACTTAAATTTATTGAAATACATTTATTTTTAAAAGGAAACTTTATATCACTATCATAAATAGAAATTAATATCACTTATCATATAATTAAAAAATAAGCACAGAAGAAGTAAAACTGTCACTGTTTGCAGATGACATGATGCTATAAATAGAGAATCTTAAAGATGCTACCAGAAAACTACTAGAGCTAATCAATGAATTTGGTAGAGTAGCAGGATACAAAATTAATGCACAGAAATCTCTTGCATTCCTATAAACTAATGATGAAAAATCTGAAAGAGAAATTAAGGAAACACTCCCATTTACCACTGCAACAAAAAGAATAAAATACCTAGGAATAAGCCTACCTAAGGAGACAAAAGACCTGTATGCAGAAAACTATAAGACACTGACGAAAGAAATTAAAGATGATACAAACAGATGGAGAGATATACCATGTTCTTGGATTGGAAGAATCAACATTGTGAAAATGACTATACTACCCAAAGCAATATACGGGTTCAACGCAGTCCCTATCAAACTACCAATGGCATTTTTCACAGAACTAGAACAAAAAATTTCACAATTTGTATGGAAACACAAAAGACCCCAAATAGCCAAAGCAATCTTGAGAAAGGAAAACAGAGCTGGAGGAATCAGACTCCTGGACTTCAGACTATACTACAAAGCTACAGTAATCAAGATAGTATGGTACTGGCACAAAAACAGAAATATAGATCAATGGAACAGGATAGAAAGCCCAGAGATAAACCCACACACATATGGTCACCTTACCTTTGATAAAGGAGGCAAGAGTATACAATGGAGAAAAGACAGCCTCTTCAATAAGTGGTGCTGGGAAAACTGGACAGATACATGTAAAACAATGAAATTAGAACACTTCCTAACACCATACACAAAAATAAACTCAAAATGGATTAAAGACCTAAATGTAAGGCCAGACACTATCAAACTCTTAGAGGAAAACATAGGCAGAACACTCTATGACATAAATCACAGCAAGATCCTTTTTGACCCACCTCCTAGAGAAATGGAAATAAAAACAAAAATAAACAAATGGGACCTAATGAAACTTAAAAGCTTTTGCACAGCAAAGGAAACCATAAACAAGACCAAAAGACAACCCTCAGCATGGGAGAAAATATTTACAAATGAAGCAATTGACAAAGGATTAATCTCCAAAATATACAAGCAGCTCATGCAGCTCAATATCAAAAAAACAAACAACCCAATCCAAAAATGGGCAGAACACCTAAATAGACATTTCTCCAAAGAAGATACACAGATATACAACAAACACATGCAAGGATGCTTGACATCACTAATCATTAGAGAAATGCAAGTCAAAACTACAATGAGGTATCACCTCACACCAGTCAGAATGACCATCATCAAAACATCTACAAACAATAAATGCTGGAGAGGGTGTGGGGAAAAGGGTACCCTCTCGCACTGTTGGTGGGAATGTAAATTGATAGAGCCACTATGGAGAACAGTACGGAAGTTCCTTAAAAAACTAAAAATAGGGCTTCCTTAGTGGCGCAGTGGTTGAGGGTCCATCTACCAATGCAAGGGATGTGGGTTCGTGCCCCGGTCCAGGAGGATCCCGCATGCCGTGGAGCGGCTGGGCCCATGGGCCATGGCCGCTGGACCTGCGTGTCCGGAGCCTGTGCTCCACAGCAGGAGGGGCCACAACAGTGAGAGGTCCGCGTACCACCAAAAAAAAAAAAGCTAACTAAAAATAGAACTACCATATGACCCAGCAATCCCACTACTGGGCATAAACCCTGAGAAAACCATAACAGTGTGGTACTCAAAAAGAGTCATGTACCACAGTGTTCACTGCAGCACTATTTCCAATAGCCAGGACATGGAAGCAACCTAAGTGTCCATCAACAGATGAATGGATAAAGAAGATGTGGCACATATATACAATGGAATATTACCCAGCCATAAAAAGAAACAAAATTGAGTTATTTGTAGTGAGGTGGATGGACCTAGAGTCTGTCATACAGAGTGAAGTAAGTCAGAAAGAGAAAAACCAATGCTGTATGCTAACACATATATATGAATCTAAAAAAAAAATGGTTCTAATGAACCTAGGGATAGGACAGGAATAAAGACACAGACGTGGAGAATGGACTTGAGGACACAGGGAGGGGGAAGGGTAAGCTGGGATGAAGTGAGAGAGTAACATTGACATACATACACTACCAAATGTAAGATAGATAGCTAGTGGGAAGCAGCTGCATAGCACAGGGAGATCAGCTCGGTGCTTTGCGACCACTTAGAGGGGTGGGATAAGGAGGGAGACACAAGAGGGAGGGAATATGGGGATATATGTATACATATAGCTGATTCACTTTGTTATACAGCAGAAACTAACACAACACTGTAAAGCAATTATATTCCAATAAAGATGCTAAAAAAAAAAAGATTCATACCCTTTGTATATGTCTCAGTCCATTCGGGCTGCTATAACAAGATACCATAGACTGGGTGGCTTGTAAATAACAGAAATTTATTTCTCACAGTTCTGCAGACTGGGAAGCCCGAGATCAAGGAAACGGCAGATTCAGTGTCTGCTGAGGGTTCGCTTCCTGGTTCATAGATGGCCATCTTTTGCTCTGGGGTCTCCTTTATAAGGACACTCATCCTGCAAACTTCATGATGTAATCAACTCCCAAAGGCCCCACGTCCAAATGCCATCACATTGAGGGTTAGGTTTCAACATATGAATTTCAGGGGGAAACAAAAATTCCATTTATAGCAGTCCATTCATGTGCCTTTTCCCCAGACCCATCCAATATCCCTGATCACCCAATATTGTTCCTTCCAGTCCTTTGACCAAGGAGCCCTTCATCACCGCCCACAAACCCATGTCTAGCCTCACCTCAGGCCACTTCTCTCTCTGCACAGAGTAGATGACAGGTGTGCTGCCCAAAGCTCTGCCCAGAGACATGATTTGGTCCCATTTTTGGGCCCCTCATGAGTGGAGCTGTAGTGCCGCAGCAGACCATTTTCCTCTTATACCAGCATACCAAGCTGACCCATCCATGAATCAAATTCCAGATTTTTTCTCCTCTGTCGGCTGGTCAGAGGAAACCTCCATGAGGCCATAGATGTTCGTTGAGGAAGAGGTGCCAGTGCAACAGTGAAGGATGACATGGCATCTGGGCCACCTGCTTGTGCACCTTATTTGTGCCCTCTGACCTGCTCAGGCCTAATCCTGGATATGACATTTCCAATGTATGATGGGCTGCTCCGGGGCCCACCCGACTTTTTGGCTTATTTTCTGGGTCTGGCTGTACCCAGCTCATGAGAAATAGTTCTGGCCTCATGGTTATTTGATAGCCATATGGTCAGACACAAGTGTCTACCTACCAGGTGCTGGTATCAAGCTAGGCGCTATTTCCCAAATGATGTATAGTTCTCTGCAGCAGATGGCATGGATTTGTTCTAGAACTCCAAGGGGTATGTGCTGTGATTTTTTCTACTGGGGCTTGACAAAGGCGCCACACGTTATTATTTCCTATCACAAATGCTTCTAGTACCATGGAATTTACAACTTTGCTTTGGTTTTGCTTTGTTTTGTTTCACAGTTATTTTAGCTATTCTAAGTCCTTAACATTTCCATGTGAATTTTAAGAATCACCTTATCAATTTCTACAAAATCTTGCAGGGATTTTTTTACTGGTATTGCTTTGAGTCTATAGATCAATTTGGAGGAGAAAAGACTTCTTAACAATACTGAGTCTTCCAACAGAATATATCTCTCCATTTATTTATATCTTTAAAAATTCCTCTCAGCAATATTTTGTAGTTTTCAGTGCACAGATCTTATACATCCTTTGTCATATTATTCCAAAGTGTTTAATATTTTTTATGTTATCAATATGGCATTGTTTTAATTTCAATTTCCAATTGTTCATGGCTAGTATATAGAAATATAATTGACTTTGTTTCTCGATCTTGTATCCTGTAATTTTGCTAAACCCACATGTCAGTTCTAGTAACATTTTTGTAGAGTTCATCAAACTTTCTATGTAGATGGTCATATCATCTGTGAATAAAGATAGTTTATGTCTGTCTTTCCAATCCAGATTTTAATTTCCTTTTCTTATCTAGGTAGAACCTCCAGAACAATGTTGAATAGAAGTGAGAGCAGACATCCTTGTCTTGTTCCTGAAACTAGAGGGCAAACATTCAGTGTTTTATTATTAACTATGATGTTAGTTGTAGGTTTTGTGTAGATGCCCTTTATCAGGTTGAGGAAGCCGCCTTCTACTCCTAGCTTGATGAAAGTTTTTAATCAAAGTTAGATGTTGGAGATCTATCAAATGCTTTTTCTGCCTCTATTGAGATGATCAAGCAATTTTTTTTAGTTTGTTAATATGATAATTTTCAAATGCTAAACTAACCTTTCATTCTTGAGATAAACCCGCATATAGTCATGATGTATTATCCTTTTTATACATTGCCGTATTTAAATCACTGAAATTTTGAGGGTGTTTGTCACTGTGTTCATAATGGATATTGGTCTGTATTGGTCTTAGTTTGGTTTGGGTAGTAGGGTAAGGCTGGCCTCACAGAAGAATTTGATAAGTATTCCCTTCTCTTCAACTTTCTGGAATAGCTTGGGTATAATGTGGTGTATGGTGATGACACCATATCAGCCTAGATCTTTCTGTGTGATAAGGATTTTTCTACAAATCCAATTTCTGTAACAGATACAGAGCTTTTCAGATCATCTATTTCTTCTTGAGAAGCTTTGGTAGTTTGTGTCTTTCAAGGAATTTGTTCTTTTTGTCTAAGTTATAGAACTATTTGCCATAAAGTTACTCAGAATATTTCCTTATTATCCTTTTAATACCTGTAAAGTCTGTAATGCTGTCACCCCTCTCATTCCT